AATTTATTGAAAGTTTGAAAGGAACAAGAAAAATTACTTACTTGGAAAGCAATCCATCAGGGCCCGAAGGTTTTACAACGTATTTATCCACTTGTTTGTTAAATAAATAATAAGGTAACTGCAAGTGCTTGGTGACATTATGGAGGTTGATGGCATACAGAGTTAAATCTCCTTCTTTATACTTTGGGCTAAAAACAAATAGGTTAACTCAATAAAAAATACTTATCTCAGTTAAGCAATTAAAAACTAAATTACAAATGGGATCATGGATACTAAGTATTCGCACACATAATGACAATGAGATCTCTTAGTGTCTCTCCTTTTACGATAATATCACACCACTCGTGTGGTCCTACTTTGAAAACATGATAAAAAAATATGTTCTTCCCACTCCCACGTTCTGGGCTAAAGCACTCTTAGATCTTTGCAGTTTGGCTGGCTGAGTCGCTAGAAAGTTGAATGGCAAAACCCAAATTTTGTAGGCTCGTGTGAATTCAAATTACAAGCTATATAAATAAGGGGCTTTTCTCAGCCTTAGAAAAAGACTAAAAAAAGTAAAAAAAAAATAAAATAAAAAAAATAATAATAATAAAAGGGCCGGGCACAGTGGCTCACGCCTGTAATCCTAGCACTCTGGGAGGCCGAGGTAGGAAGATCGCTTGAGAACAAGAGTTTGAGACCCTATCTCTACTAAAAATACAAAAAATAAAAAAATAAAAAAAAATTAGCTGGGCGTGATGGCATGTACCTGCAGTCCCAGCTATTCCGGAGGCTGAGGCAGGAGGATCGCTTGAGCCCAGGAGTTGGAGGTTGCTGTGAGCGAGGCTGACGCCACGGTATTCACTCTAGCCTGGGCAACAGAGTGAGACTCTGTCTCAAAAAACAATAAAAATAATAATAATAATATTGCTGTTGGTGTTATTGTTCTTCTTTTTCTTTTAATTCTTCTTCCTTATTAAATTTATCAGGTTTGATGCATATTAATTCATATTCATATTTATATTCACTCATAGTCCTTCAATGAATTAACTGTTCATACATAAATAGTAATATTTTTTTCTTGCATTCATATTATTTATTAAAATGCAGGGTGTATTTCCATTATAGATTCTGGCAATTAGAATCGTTGCATAAATCTTTGCTGGACTTGCAAATGCCTATGTTTAAGCAACATTTTTTAAAATTTAGAGTCTAGCATCCTATCTCTGTGAATACAAAAGAAAAACAGAACAGAACAAAAAAGAACACTGAGACACATCTTAGACCCACTGTATACAGACGTGGCAAGAGGGTGTGTGAGTCGGAAGCTATGTGCTCTGCCAGGGAAAACCTGCCAACTGGTCAAGGCCATGTCTAGTACTTGCCTTTGGTTGATGTTTGTGCAATGAAGGTAGACTCGAAGTTTCCTTCCGGCCCCACCTTTCACACTCGCCATGAGCACACGGGTGCCCACCAATTTCTTGAACAGAAGAGAGAGCCAATAATCCTAGTCGTGGTGTTTGGGGAGAAGAGAGACAGAAATAGATCGTTAACTTATTTCTCTATTTACCAAAACCAGTGGTGAGCAAATACTTAACGTGCAAAGAGTGTGACTGTTATCCTTGGGGTATTTAAATAGGATTCATCTTTTTTTTTTTTTTTTTTTTGTGAGACAGAGTCTCACTCCGTTGCCCGGGCTAGAGTGCCGTGGCATCAGCCTCACTCACAGCAACTCCTGGGCTCAAGCGATCCTCCTGCCTCAGCCTCCTCCCGAGTAGCTGGGACTACAGGCAAGCGCCACCATGCCCAGCTAATTTTTTTTTATATATATTAGTTGGCCAATTAATTTCTTTCTATTTTTAGTAGAGACGGGGTCTCGCTCTTGCTCAGGCTGGTTTCGAACTCCTGACCTTGAGCGATCCTCCCGCCTCGGCCTCCCAGAGAGCTAGGATTACAGGCATGAGCAACCGTGCCCGGTCTCTTTTTTTGGTGCATGTGAGCACCATGAATCTGAGGGCAATTATTTTGTTTGATGCTTTTTCTCACTGTAGGATTCTATTTCCACAATTCAGAGGGTCATAGCTGCTAGGAGACACATTTCAAGAATGCAGTCCCTTGATAAGACAGTTTAAATGTTCTTGGTTTTCTTCTTATCCAAAAACTCAAAGCAAAGCTCAAGGCCAAATATTTAGACATACCTCCACAGATAAACAAAGATGAGTGTTTGGATTTACTTGGCAAAACATTTTCGATCCAAGTTTGCTTTCTTGTAAAAATGGAGCCATACAATTTCAAATTATCCCCTTTTTCAAAAAAAAAAATCCACCTCACACCCCAAATGGCCCACATTGCAAAAAGTTATTCCAGGCTCTTGATTTCTTCTCTGGAGACAAATATTAGAATGGGTGATCTGGAAGGTTCCTTCCCACTTGTCATCCCTGCATTTGGCTATTTACTGAGAGGACTGACCATTCCGGGGAGGTTCAGGTCAGGGGCCCTGAGCTACTCATAGAAACAGGAAAATAACGGCCACTCACGGGCAGAGGTTCGAAGTTTTCATCCACCAGATGGTAGTTTCCGGCTCCGAAGAACACCTGCCTCATGACCACTTCGATGCCCATCCTGGCTGACAGGCCCAGTTTGTCCAGCCACCTGGGAGAGAGTGGGACCAAGCTTTCTTCAGGTTTGCAAACAAAACTGCTCCATTCTAATTTACACGCTGTCCTGCCTTAGCCCTCTCCCTGGGAAAAATTAACAGTAAACCAGCAAAGTGGCATGGTTTAGAGACAGGTCGTTGGGGCCAGGCAAGGTGGCACACAACTATAATCCTAAAACTCTGGGAGGCTGAGGCGGGAGGATCGCTCAACGTCAGGAGTTCGAGACCAGCCCGAGCAAGAGCGAGACCCCATCTCTACTATAAATAGAAAGAAATTTATTGGCCATCTAAAAATATATGCAAAAAAATGAGCCGAAAGAGAGATACTCTGTTGCCCAGGTTAAGGTGAGTGCTGTGGTGAAGCCTCGTCCACAAACCTCAGACTCCTGGGCTCCACGATCTCCTGCCTCAGCCTCTCGGTAGCGCGGACTACAGGCCACACCAATGGTCGCCCAATTTTTCTCTGTATATTTTGTTGGGCAATTATTTCTTCTATTTATAGTAAGGAGAGGTCTCTGCTCTGCTCAGCTGTCTGACCTCTGACCTCGAGCGATCCTCCGCCTCGGCTCCTCAGAGGTGGATACATACTGTCTTAACTGTGTCTTCTCCAGACAGAGAATGGACTCAATAGATGGAATGGACTCTTCTACATATACCCTTCTGTATTGGTCTTTCCTCGTAGAATTTCTGCTTTTATTTTAATACATATTGTAGGTGGAGGCCAGGTGTGGTGGTTCACATGTTCATCCCAGCACTCCTGGGAGGCTGAGGCAGAGATTACTCGAGGTCAAGAGTTCAAACCAGCTCGGCAGACCCTGGTCTCCTAAAAATGAAAGAAATATTGGCCAACTAAGAAAAATTTAGAAATGAGCCGGGCAGGGTGGCGCATGCCTGTCAGTCCAGCTACCTGGAGGCTGAGGCAGGAGGATCGCTTGAGCCCAGGAGTTGGGGGTTGCTGTGAGTGAGGCTGACGCCACGGCATTCTAGCCTGGCGACAGAGTGAGACTCTGTCTCAATAAAAAATACAAAATATGTGGTGAGAGAGGTAGGAGAACAAGGTCAGGATGGTAAGTTGTCCTGTTTTTTAACTGATATTTTCTGAATTTTAGCTACTATTTTGAATGAGAATGCTACACAAAGATTTTCTAAACCCTGACGTGTTGGACACTTTTATTTCATCTGTGCAAAAAATTTTTCAGGTAATAGTCTTTTTAAAAGTTTTAACATAAAACTAGAATCTTTAGTTTATAGTCTAGTTCTAAATTCTATGGATGTACATATATATTTACATATTTTTCTAATTTTGGAGAACAAGCACTATGACCTATTCGCCATTGGTTTCCCCTTAACTTTAGGTTAACCATAGTATGATTGATTAGAATTAAAAAGTACTGGCCAGGTGTCGGTGGCTCATGCCTGTCATCCAGTCAACTCTGAGGCTGAGGTGGAGGATCGCTCCATGGTCGACTATCGCAACAGCCTGAGAAGAGGAGACCCTCTCTACTATAAAAATAGAAGAATTACTTGGGCAAACGAAAATACATAGAAAAAAATTAAGCTGGGCATGGTGGCACATGCCTGTAGTCCAGCTATCTGGGGGAGGTGAGGCAGGAGGATCGCTTGAGCCCAGGGTGAAGGTTCTGGAGCGAGCTACAATCACGACTCACTCTAGCCTGGGCAACAGAGTGAGACTCTGTCTCAAAAACAAAAAGGGAAATTAAAAATACTTAGTGGCTACAGGTGAGTTCTCTTAGAAAATAAAATTTTCCGGAAGATTTCAGAAATTTTCCAGAGAAATAATTTTAATTCTAAAAAATTAAATTATACATTTTTAAATTAAATAATTAAAAAAACCTTAGTGTCCATTAATACCATGACCACAAGAATGGTTTGTTTACAGTCCTTCCATGCTGTAGTATTTATATTCCAGTACAAAAAAAACAAAAACTGCCTGAAGAACTGAACCACTGTGGCACATATTTGGTACACTATGTAGGGTGGATGGATGGGTTAGGATACAGGTTTGATGCTGTGAATGTTCAACGCTGTGATGGTGGTCACTTCGCCGGTTTCATGGAGACTTCCTGTTGCCAGTGGTCAGGAGACCAGCCCAGCAAGAAGTGTGTGGTTGGGAGAGACGCACTTCGTATGGGCGGGGCGCCCTTGCTTCAACACCTTGCGGGCCTGCTTTATGTGAGTAAGCAGGCCCCACGGGCCTGAGACCTCCTTCTTTCCGCTGGCCTCATGGCCAAAAGGCAGAACCAAAAACGGTGCCAGTGGCTCCAGCCTCAACAGTTTGTCCGGATTTTGGCATGAAATGATTGCTAAAGGTCGTGGGGCATCTATTAACAGGTGCTTCAAAGTGAACTGGTATCACTTAATGTCTGTACAATGGCGGGGGGAAGGCCACGCGTGTTCATCCTAGCACTCTGGGAGGCCGAGGCGGTGAGGATTGCTCAAGGTCAGAGTTTGGAACCAGCTGAGCAGAGTGAGACACAATCTCTAACTAAAAATAGAAGAAATCTACTTGGCAACTAAATATTAGAACAAAAATTGCGGGCATGGTGGCGATGTTTGTGGTTCCGTACTCGGGAGGCTGAGGCAGAGAGGATTGCTTGAGCCTGGGTTTGAGGCTGCTCGTGAACGAGGCTGATGCCACGGCACTTGAGACAGCACAGAGTGAGACTCTGTCTCCAAAAATTATTATATAGTATGAAGATAGATAGATAGAAACAAATAACCAAGCATGTTGCCACATGTCCTGTAGTCCCAGCTACTCAGGGAGGCTGAGGCAGGAGGATCGCTTGAGCCAGAGTCTGGAGGTTGCTGGTCAGCCGAGCTGAAGCATAGCACCTTATCCTAGGCAAAGAGCTGAGACTCTATCTCAAAAAAAGATAAAAAATAAGTATTATATGAAAAAATGAGCGGGCATGGTGGCAACATGCTGCAGTCCAGCTACTCGGAAGGCTGAGGCAGGAGGATCACTTAAGCTGAGGAGTTGGAGGTTGCTGTCAGCCAGGCTGAAGCCACAGCACTCTAGCCTGGGCCACAGAACAAGACTCTGTCTCAAAAAAAAAAATTGTCTTATAATAGAAATATTGTTCTTTGACTATGGCCCGTAAATATGCCCAAGGCCCCTTCTTCTAAGGAAGCACGTTGCAAAAATGCCCGCGCAGCGCTTTGGCTCTGAGAAGGATGCTTAGCACATGCAGCTAATATTGAGAGATTCCCAGAAGTTTAGAGCCTAAGGGTGGAGGTCACGCCGGAGGCGGGCTGTCAGTGAATTCTGAAGATTTACTGAAACCCTCAGTCTCCAGCAACTACAAACTTGATTGCTTTTAGCTCCAGGTTTACTTCCATTCAGTCACTCTGTTAATCTATAATTCCTTATCCTCACATGGAGGTGTTTTTTCTCTTTCCTCTTCCATCCTCATTCTTTATAAACCCAAAATAAAGCACAAATCCTTTTTCTTTTTTTTTTTCTGAGACAGAGTCTCACCTGTCTGCCCCGAGGCTGAGTGAGTGCCCGTGGCGTTCAGACCTCGCCTCACAGCAACCTCACTCCTGGCCTCAAGCGATTCCCTCCTGCCTCAGCGCTCCTCGAGTAGCTGGGACCACAGGCATGCGCCACCATGCCGGCATTTTGGCATTATATTTAGT